GCCCTCCTGATCATAATTTTCAATCAGACATGTTTCCTATTATTTTCCTCTAAATTCATTATTTTGTCCATGCCAACTCATTAATTTTAAAATGTTCTAAATAAATCTACCTGGATTGTTAGTTTGAGATTTAAATGTGTTTGAGATTTTAAAAGAACCAGAATATCTGACTTCTTTTTAATATTGTTTTAGTTATCAATATTGTTTTATTTATTTATTTTTATGTAGTGCTGAGAATTGAACCCAGTGCTTCACACATGTTAGGCAAGCTCTCTACCACCGAGCTACAACCCCAGCCCAGAATATCTGACTTTTTAGAAATGTTCTCATTACCATTTTCTGACACTACTAACATTTATATTTTTCTCTTTTAACCAGGAAAAGTGGGTTGAAGTTGCCTCAATGAAAGTGCCTAGAGCAGGCATGTGTGTTGTAGCAGTCAATGGTCTTCTGTATGTTTCTGGAGGCCGTTCTTCCAGCCATGATTTCTTAGCCCCAGGTACCTTGGACTCAGTTGAAGTTTACAACCCTCATTCAGATACCTGGACAGAAATTGGTAACATGATCACTAGTCGTTGTGAAGGGGGTGTTGCTGTACTATGAAACATAAGGCATAAGCACACAAGCAACATTTTGAAAATGTATGATCTGATCTTTTGCAAATCAAATATTTATTTGGTTATAGGACCCTTTCATTTTATTGAGTTTTATATGTATTGGGTAGATAAGTGACTAATAAGTAATTTTTCTAAAAATGTGAATGAGAAAGGATATGGAATATATCCTAAATTAATAAAGAACTCACACAAACTTGCCAAACTTACCAACAATAGAATTGGTGTTTATGCTTTCAAATTGTCCAATTAAAAATTGTTCTAATTGTAAGAATTGTTTGCTAGAAGCTTCTGAGAAATAACCTTGTTGGCTATTTTTCCAATGCAATTCAAATTGTAACATAACCTGTATATTATGTAGGATTGTTTGCTAAAAGCTTCTGAGAAATAACCTTGTTGGCTATTTTTCCAATGCAATTCAAATTGTAACATAACCTGTATATTATGTAGGAATGATATCCATGAGACAGTTTAAAGATTTGAATCAGTGCAGAGCATGGTTTTCTATGGCCATAGTTTAACCTGCAGAGAAAAGCCAGTGAAACAAGTTCCTACTTTTATTTGATGGCAATTTTTACTAGCCCCAAACATTTTATTGGCAGCAGGTATAGTAGGAGGGTGTGTAGCTAATAAATAGGTAAGGTTTTGCTTGTTGATAGCCTAAGAAAAACTTTTACTTGTTCATTTTTTTGTCTTGAGTCAGAGAATGCAAGTAGGGAATTAAGAGGAGGTCCTTAGTGACAGTCTTTGATTGAAATAGATGTTGTAATGAGTGATGGAGCACGGCAAATCGTATTTCACATCTAGACATTTCTTCCTTAATTTCTAGATACCAAAATTATCTGCTTGGCTTTAGGAAGAGAGATTTTTGTTAATTTATCAAGCTTTGTGAACTTTATTTGTACTTGAACAAGCCTGAGTTTACTACAAAGCTATTGCCTGGAGAAGGCTGAATTATAGGTATACCTTGAGCATCCCTAATCTGAAATCTTTAGTCTGAAACTTCTGGAATGTTAATATAATGCTCAAAACGTTTTGGATTTTGGAGTATTTTTTACTTTGGATTTTCAGGATAGGGATGTTCACTCAGTAAAATCTATGTAAATATTCCAAAATCTGAAACACTTTTGGTCCCAGGCATTTCAGATAAGGAATGCTCAACCTGTACCTGTGAAACTTTTTATAGATAATGACTCATAAGTATAAGCTAAAATGCCCTTCTCATCCAAAATTTGTTCTCAAAATTTCTCCTTTTCCCTTGAGAAGCATTCTAAAGAAGTATTTTCAATTCTGAAAATTTATCATGTGTATGGATAATCACTTTTATTTCATTTCTACTGGCCATATGTATTAAAGGTTCTGCATACAATAAAGTTAACTAATTCAAGGATTTGATTTCCTATTTCTTTACTAAGGTCTTTTAGTTTATTGTTAGAAGCATCAACAGCTTAATTAAATAGAAAACTTTGGTCAGCATTAAAGACTTGGGTAGCATTCATTTTCAAATATGTTGGTTTGGCCCACAAGGATATTTTCTTTCATAACTTAACTAAAATTCTTGTATTAGGAAAAGCTTATGTACAGAGAAGCCTGTGTCCTGTTCTGTGAGGTATCCTGAGAGTCTAAACAGTCTCACAGATGCCTGTTTGGAATCTGTAAGATAGCAAAGAATAAGTATCAAGATGATCTGTAGACTACAAAAGCTCTAACTCATGTGCCTTTAATATTTCTGGTTATAGAGAATCTGCCTTCTGGTTCAAAGCAGATTTACAAAATACTCCTACAGTTTCATTCTCAGTATTGCCTAGTACCAACCTAAAATGGCACTATGAAGAGAGATGTTTTACACTGTCATGGCAGAAATGTAATGTCAAAACAATCAGTTTTGGGGTTTAACAGGTCCAGAAGATCACTGAAAATAGTTAAGTGTAAAACATGCTTATTGTTTCCTAGATAATGACAAGATTTTTTTGAAAAAGAGAATGTACTAATAAAGTATATAGCTTTTTAAATTTTCTTTGTATTAACTTATTAGTTTAGTAGTTACATTTTTGGATTTCTAAACTGGAGTAGAATTACATATTTAGTTTTAATTCCATTTTATGAGCAACAATTAAAGTAGTCTTTCTTCAGGGCTAGGGTTGTATTTTAGCTCTGTGGTAGAGTGCTTGCCTAAAGTGTGAGGCACTGGGTTCGAGCCTCAGCACCATATAAAAGTAAATAAATAAAGGCATTGTGTCCATCTACAACTAAAAATATATTTAAAAAAAATAAAGTAGTCTTCAAAATGTTTGAATTCAGTATGCTTCTAAATATCCTATTTAGTACAGGCACAGTAGCACATGCCACTCTCAGAGGCTCATGCAAAGGATAATTTTAGGCCAACAATTTAAAGTCATCTGGGCAACATTTGTGACATTGTGTCATATATATATTTATATGTGTATCATATATATTTATATTTAGTTGTAGATGGACACAGTACCTCTATTTTATTTGTTTTTATATGGTGCTGGGGATCAAATTGAGTGCCCCACGCATTCTAGGAAAGCACTCTACCACTGAGCCACAACTCCGGCCCCCGTGACACTGTATCTTGAGGGTAAAAATAAAAAAGCAAACAAATAAATAAAAAGCACAACAAATTTACTAAAGAGAGAGAGAAAAAAAGTCAGACATAATGACACATAACCTGTAATCCCAGCTAATCAGGAGGCTGAAGCAAAAAGAAATGAGTTCAAGGCCAGCCTGAACAATTTAGCAAGACTCTGTCTCAAAATAAAATAAAAAGGAATAGGAACATAGCTCACTGGTTGAGTACTTGCCTAGCATGTTCTAGGCCCTGGGTTCCATACTGAGTACTGCAAAAGAAAAAACAAAACAACAACAAAAATCCCCAACTTTCCAATGTACTTAATTGAATGTTCTTAAAATTCAGTTTTAAGAATACACTAATTCACCTACAAAATAGCAATTTTTAAGTGAAATTAAGCAATTATCTTAAAAATATGACTTGTTCCTATGTTGGAAGTAACAGAGTTAATTGAGATTAAGGAAAAATTAGTGTAGTGTAAATGCAATTTAGAAGCAAAGAAGTTCCTTAATCTGAATAGAATTTGAGTTACAGATTAAACTTATTCCCTATGTAAAAGCCCTATCTCTGAGTAAAGTCACATGCTAAAGGGATTAGGAAGACTTTAACACACAATTCAACCCATAAGAAAGTAAACAAAATTATTGCTCTTCACAGTAGGAATTACTGGAACATTAATCTTATAATTTGTAAAATTTGTTAACTGACAATTTCTTATATTGTACAAAGACAGCACACTCCAAGTGATATAATTTATTGATTTGTACTTAATACCACCTAAATTTTTTGTGAAACTAGAAATTCTAGAGACTAGGTTTTCAAGTTAAAATCCAAGTGATTGCTTTTGCTTTTTTTTTTTTTAAGCTTCTCTATGAATTAATAGACATAGAACTAGATAGGCTGGTTCATTAGAATATAAAGTTGGTTCTATTTGAGTTTTATCATTTACATGTAATAGTGATTTTATTTTTTACTTTGTTTGGTGTTGGAGGTAAAAGCTGTATCTATATATATTATGCCAAATAGCCTCATAAATACTATATGTCTCCATTTCTTCTCTCATATTATATAGCTTTCTCTCATGATATTGTTCCCTGTTGATTCTAGAGCCACAAATCCTTTAAGCCCATAAAACTAAGTTATACCAGGTAAAATAAAATACCCACCAGGAACTGCAGTGAAACTCCATGTAACCAACTATTTTCAGGCATTCACAGATACATATTTTCTTTGCAAAGTGGGAAAATGTGTGTGTTATGTTTCTTTTTTTCCGAATTTCTTTTCTTTTTTTCTAAATTTCTTTAGTTAGAGGTGGACACAGCGTCTTTATTTTACTTTATGTGGTGCTGAGGATCGAACCCACTGCCTCACACATGCTAGGTGTATGCTCTACCACTGAGCCCCAGCACCAGCCCCCAATTTCTTTTTAAACTGGGAAACTTGGCTGCCCAGAAATGTATGAAAATGTAAACATATAGTTCAAAGTCAAAAAAATGACACCCACACATCTACTGTCCTGGTCCAGAAGCAGTTCATCATTAATGACAGGCAATTCATGTCCTGTATCTTACAGGTGTCTTCCCCAACCTCCAATAGGAAACCATTATAGCACGTTTTAGATCACTCATTTCCTTTTTCAACTTTATGTTTACGCCTATGTATAAAATCCCCAGTGCCCCATTTCCTGGTTTTGATTATTCTATATCATGGGGCACCATTGAATTTCTTTTTAATATTTTTATTAGTGCATTACAGTTGCATATGTGTTTGTTTTAATGATTATAAGGCTCTAACAGGATTAAAAAAAAACTTTATTTTATTTACTTATTTTTCTATGTGGTACTGAGGATCAAACCCAGGGTCTTGCTTTTTTATTTTACATTTTTCAAGATCAAACATTGAAATGTTTAAGTGGATGACATATCATTCATAAAAAGACTGAATGTAAATCAACCTAATATGGCATGACAAAGACCTGTTAGGAATTTTCCTGTTCTTTCTCAAGCAATTACTATGAAATAATTTTTAGAAATGAAAAACAACATATAAAGAACTACCACTGCTAGTGAAGGGGAAAAAGCCAAACAGAGATAAAAGGTCATGCCAAAATGCAACTTTACAAAATAGTTTTATATTTATTCTACTTGACCAAATAGTTTTATATTTATTCTACTTGGGTCCTTTCTCTGGATAAATATCTTTAAGTAGTAATGTGACTACAAATGAAAAAAAAGCCACTAAAGTGACAAGTATTCTTAGAGCCTTGAACCAGTTGGGATAATGTGGCAAGAGAAAAAGTTCAACATGTAATGCTATCCCCAAACCTATTATTACTAAGACTATGGCTTCACTGAGTCCTTCAGAAAAAAGGATGGCAAACCATGAAAACACAACAGGAGTTGCACTATTAGCTAAATTAAGGTAGTCTGGTTTAGCTGGACTACCTTCTGGCAGAGCAAAACCCCATCTTACTCCTCCCAAGAAAGATAGGAAACTGGCTCCATAAGCCATCTGAGTAAAAGCTAATTCAGGGATATAAGTCTTGGTCATGACCATGATCAATGGTGGAGCAATGAAAGGGATTAGCCCTGCCAAAGTTATATATAATGCTGGCTTTGGGCTGTCAGGCAGGTAAGTGATGGTGCTCGGTGGCCTGGCTGGAAGTACTACTTGCTTCTGCTTCTTCTTAAAGCTGCATGGGGATGTATGATACCATCGTGTCTTGCTCATACATACTGGAAATGATGGGAAAACACAAGATGTAGGAAACAAAAGGAATAAGTTCTGATGAAGAGATGATTTGAGAGAAAGTATATCTATTCTCCTTCTGGTTCCCATGCTCATTGTGAATGGGTACTTCAGCATCTATAAAGAAAACAACCAGAAAACAAAATTAAAACAAACAAAATGAAACCCACTAGATTTTTAGTTAATTCCAATCTGAAAACAAACAACAAAAAGGTAAACACAATACCACCATCACCCTTTCTATTAGCACATCAAACTTTACAGATGGGTTGAATTGACAAGAGATTACCCTCATGACATTGCCACAGTAATGTTATTATTGTTATTATTTTTTGCAATCCTCCTGCCTCAGCCTCCTGTTTGTATTAAACAAGTATACACTATATCCCAAAAACGTGTAATTCCTGTCAATTAAAAATAAAAAATATATGAATTATTAAACTTACTGAAATACAGAAATTGCTATACAACATGCAAAAGAAACTAGCAAATAGAACTAGTGATCTATTTTGACCTATCACTAATTTTATGCCATGAAGAAATATCTTTATGAAGAGCAGGTAAACACAAGGTCTTTAGCACTAGCCCTTCTAAACTGTCTCTTCTATCTTTCTATTAATTGTTTATCTCTTCTATTTATAAAGTACAAAAGAAGAAGTGATTAACTTTCCATAGCTCTATGCCTTTATACATGTCTCTGCCTAGAGTTCTAGCTCCTACTATTTACATTTTTTCTTAAAATTTGTCTTTAAGCTTTCCTGAATATCTCTCCAATCTGACTTTAGGCTCCTGTATGAATATCCTATGCAAACTTCTATAATTCTTCTCACAGTGAATTAAAACTGTGTGTTAACTGTCATTGTTTTAGTAGACTCAAGAGCTAGGACCATATATTTTCACTGCCTTTAAAGGTACATAGCCAGAGTAATTACCTTTTCTTCTTATACAATGCTTTAGTAAGCAGATGCTAGACTTCAACTAAGCAGAACAATCTAAAAAAGTGTTGGATGAAACAAAAAGTGTTAACAGTTATGTAAGAATCTTAATGATTCTTCAAACATGCTAGGAATGATCCCAAACTTTTTCCCCTTTTGTCTCCATTTGGAATGCTCTTCTTCCAGCTATCTGTATGGTCCAGTCCCTCATTTCTGACCCCGCTATATGAAACACTATTCTTGATATTCCTTATTCCTTTTTCTCACTATATAGTTCTCCACAATACTTACTACTTGAATTACTAAATATTTTACTTTGTATTTTATCCAATTCTCCTTCCCCCACTTGAATACATAAAAATAAAAATTTGTGTCATTTTTTTTGTACTGCCCCAGCCACAGCAGTTCTTGACAAACAGTGCTTAATATTTGCTGAATAAACCAACCTTTGAAGATGCTTGAGAAAACCTCTGGATGAAGTGAAGCATACTGGCCCCTATTGAGTCTTGTTCAGGAAGATGTCAAGCAGTTCTGATTATTGTATTTTTACATCTAAGTGGAGGGTTTACATCAGAAGCATGCTGCTGTATATAAAACAAGATATCATTTAATTTTCCTCATTTTATACATTTTCCCAGTACTTGGGGTAGAATCCAGGGACTTGTGGATGCTAATATCCCCCAACCCTTTTTAATTTTTATTTTATGTGTATGTGGTGCTGGGGATTGACCCAGGGCCTTGCACAGTAGATAAGCACTCTATCACTGAGCTATACTCCTAGTCCTTTAATTTTTTTTAAACATTTATTTTTTAGGTGTAGATGAACACAACACAATGTCTTTATTTTTATGTGGTACTGAGGATTGAACCCGGATCCCGCCCATGCTAGGCGAGTGCTCTACCGCTGAGCCACAATCCCAGCCCCCAGTCCTTTAATTTTTTTTTTTTTAAAGAAAGAGAGAGAGAGAGAGAATTTTTTTTTAATATTTATTTTTTTTAGTTCTCGGCGGACACAACATCTTTGTTTGTATGTAGTGCTGAGGATCGAACCCGGGCCACACACATGCCAGGTGAGCACGCTACCGCTTGAGCCACATCCCCAGCCCCAGTCCTTTAATTTTTTAAAAAAAATTTTGTAGTTATAGATGGACAGAATGCCTTTATTTTATTTTTATGTGGTGTTAAGGACCGAACCTAGTGTCTCACACATGCGAATCAAGTGCTCAGCTCCTGAGCTATAGCCCCAGCCCTCCCAGTCCTTTAATTTTTTTTTTTTGCATTACAATTCTTAATACACATATAAACCACAATTTTCCAGTCCTTTAATTTTTGAGATAGGATCTTGCTAAGTTGCTGAGGCTGGCCTTGAACTTGTACCCTCCAGCCTCAGCCTCCACAATACAGGAATTATAGGTATGTACCATCCTACTCCATTTAACACATTAATTTTTAAAAAGTAGTAACTCATGAGAATTTTTTCCATACAACAGAATTTCCTTTAAAAAGAATCACAAACATTTTCAAAGAATCAGTAACACATGAAGGAAATATATATTTTTCTCACCTATACTGTCCTTTTAGCTTTGGCTGTTTGGTTTAACAGAAATAGTAATGCACAGAGACATAGAAGATCTGAATTTTACAAATGCCTCTACCACTTCCCTAGCTGTGTGATATTTTCCTTGAGTCCCAGCTTTAAAACTGAAGGTCATAGCCTCTCTGTTTCTTTTAATTATCTACTTTGGAGCTTAAGAGTTTACAGCTCAAAATAATCACAGCAGCAACAAATACAATTTAGTTATGAGCCAGGCACCAAAACTACATGTTTTATATGCATTGACTTTACTGCTCACAATAACCTTAGTAACTGGATACTGAGACAGACTGACCTATTAGAGTGAACACTTTGGTGTCAAACAATCTGGGTTGGAACCCTGGCTCTACCCCTTACTAGCTGTGGATAAATTACTTAACATTGTTATGGTGCAGTTCACTCACCTTTTAAATAAAGGGCCTGGGAGTATAGATCCAAAGCAGAGTGACTGTCTAGGACACAGGGATCCCTGGGTTCAATCCTTGGCACTACAAAAACAAGTAAGAGTAGTAACAGCTACTTCACAGGTGGTTGTAAAAGTTTAGTTAAATGTAATAGCTGAGAACTGTCCCTAACACAAAGCTAGCACTCAATATTAACAGTTATTCTTAAACTAGGTGTGGTGGCCTATGCCTGTTATCCCAGTGGCTCAGGAGGCTGAGGCAGGAGGATCTCAAGTCCAAACCCAGCCTCAGCAATTTAGTAATGCCCTAAGCAACTCAGCAAGACCTTTTCTCTTAAAAACATAAAAAAGGCCTGGAAATGTGGCTCAGTGGTTAAACACCTCTAGGTTCAATCCCCAATACAAAAACAAAACAGTTATTCTTGTCTTACTCTGGAGGGACTGGTAAAGAACCTGATTAACTTAAGCAACCAAGTTAATGGAAATGAGTGAAATTATGAATCTAAATCTGTCAGTCCCATTCTCTTTTTTTTAATGATACAATGTGGTTTTTGTCGTAACACATTTATTTTATTTTTTATGTGGTGCTAAGTATCAAAACCAATCCCTCACACATGCTAGGTAAATGCTCTACCTCTGAGCTTCGATACCAGCCCCTGATATTCCCATTCTTGAGAAACTCGATGTTTCAAAAAACAAAACTTAGCCAGGTTTGGAGTCACAGGCCTGTACTCCCGGTAACTGGGGAGGCTGAGGCAGGAGGATAGCAAGTGCCAGTTGTCTGTGGGCTTCCAAGTACTTTGGATAACACCTAAACCCTGACACCCCACACCTCCACTTTTGATCAAAATCAATTTCTTAGGGCTTTCCAAATCATACCATTTAAAATCTCAACCTTCCCCCTACCTTCATCAGGGACTCCCTAACCACTGTGACACGTGAGTATTAAAGCAAAGACTGACGGCCTAAAGACGACGGAATCGGTGACACCACGGAAATAAAGGACAAAGACCCCAGGGCTAATCTACCATTTCAGAGACTCTTTTTTTTTTTTTTGGTCCCAGGATTGAACGTCTGTGGCCTTTTTTATTATTTGAGACAGGGGCTTGCTAAGTTGCTTAGGGCCTCAGTAAATTGCTGAGGCTGGCCTCAATCTTGTAATCCTCTTGCCTCAGCCTCCCGAGTCGCTAGCGTGCGCTACCACGTCGGGTTCCAATTCGTATAAAAACTTTCAAATGTTCCCATTTCCTCAATGGAAGGAGTGCAAATTGCAAGGCTCAAGCCGACATTTTAGGAAAGGGAAAGGGTTTTGACGCAAGGATCTACGAAAAATCTTGGCAAAAAGTACTCGCTTCTTCTATTACTACCAATCTCTTGATGACCGCGTTCCGAACGTGCACCTTTGTGGCCCAGATACTTAACTTACTTGCCAGCGTCGCGCCAGTAAAAAGGCAAGCTAAACTTCAAGGACAGGGATTCGCGGAAAGGCACAGTTCCGGAAAATGGAGTTATACACTCCTCACATCCTGGAACCCGAAAAAATGAGTCCGGGTGGGAACCTGACTTGGCGCAAACGTTCCCACGCCTGGTTTTCCGTCTTGACGTCATTCTTCTAAAAAAATCTCAATTCTAGTTGAAGTCGACTGTTGAACAGGGTACCTGAACGGTCTCTCTTCCAGGATTCCAAGCTAACAGAATCTGCCTGCAGCTTCGGGAAGGTAGAGTGCAACAACTGAAACAATCTCAGTGATGGTAAAGGAGGAAAGTAGACGACTTGGAGTCTAGGTCAAGTGTGACTTGGCCAAATTGCCATCTCCGGAACTCATTTTACTTTGCAAAACAACGGAGTTGGATTGACCGGACACATCTTATTCCGTGTTATTGTTCTTTACTACTGTTGGGAAGGGAATGTTTTTACTTCATTCTCTTTCCTAGGACCTACAAACTTTTTTTTTAAGGAATAAAGAGCACAAAGAAGCAGGATCTTCACTTCTATGAAGCAAGGTTAGCGTTAAGAACCTTGGGTTTGGGGGATGATTCCTCTGCCACCCTCGGCTTCAATTTATTTCTTGTTTCTGTGACCTTGGGCAAGTCCCCTCTCTTCTTTGGGTCTCTTGTCAGTCTGTCAAAGGAAATTATACCAGGTAATCTGAGCGTCTTTCCGTCTTTAAGGATAAAGCCAGAAGACAATTTGAAGAGCTCATTTGTCTAGGTGCCCACGCCGGGCACTTTCCCCCATGCCTCCGGATTCAGCTTGTCTACTTTTCTGGTTACCATCATTCTGATACGGCTGCAGAATAGGACCTCAGTAAACTCTACATAATAATAACTCTTTAAAGTCTTTGGGCTTTCACTTTATTTCCTTCTCTGGCATAGTAGCGCCGCCCCTTCCCGTCCTGCGATACCCAATGAGACGTCGGGTAGGAGAAACAGCTTCTCGCCTTACCAAAGGCGCAGGCCCGGTGAGAAGCCCGCCCTACGTTGGGGCGGGGGCGCGACGCCTGCGGTGCCCAGGAACTACGGCTCCCGGCGGGTAACGCGCCGCGCCGACCCTCGCAGGCCTGTGGAGCAGAGCCCTGAGGCCCGCTGGGGGCTGGAGTCTCAAGGACACGCACGTGTGAAGGAGCGGAAGGTGGGCAGGGGTCGGGAAACACTGATCCTTCCGATACCGATTTGCTAGTTTTGGTTGAAGTAGTTCGGCGATGCGAGGTAGCCCAGAGGCGGAGTGTGGGAGGCTGAAGAAAGAATGGGCGGGGAAGACCGGGTACCCAAATACATTTCCACCCACTCATTCACCCGCACCCAGGCCCGAGTGTTTGGCCTGGAGGATATGAAGGAAAACTACTAAACTCAGCTGGTCTTTGCCGTTCAGCACAAGGAAAGGCAAGGGATTCTACTCTGCACTGGGGCAAGAGCGACCGTGCACCACCTTGAGCCACGCCAAAGGGAGCTGGGGGCGGGGCAGGGAATAACCGCCATTCCCTCGGCCGAACGTTGACAGTCTGAAACGCGGCGATCCCCAGTAGTGTCACCGGAGCAGTGCCTGTGCGCATGCGCTCTTGCGGGTGGGCGTGTATGAGGCGGGGTCGGGGGTGGGAGAAGGCCGGCTGGTTCTTCGCTCCTCCTCCACCCACTCTGCCCCTCCTGGGCCTTGTGGGCCGGGCAGCCATTTTGGGAAGAGCTTTGTTATGGTTGTGGGCTAGTCACCTTTGCCGGTCCAAGAAACTGGGGACGCGTCCTTAGACGCCGCGTCTTGTCCTTGGCTGTAGCCCCGCCGCTGCTTGGTGAGTGGGAGTTCCGGACTGCGGAGCGGTAGGGGACCCTGGCGCCTTGGCTCAGCGCGGGGCTCCGCCCGGTGCCTCACCGGCCGTGTGTTAAAACTAGTTGGAGGAAGGTTTTACACAGGTGGTTGAGCACAGGTCCGCCGTGGGATGGGTGAGCGGAACCCACGGGTCCTGTAGTTCGCACGGGGCACCCCCCTCCCCCGCGCGCGTGGAGCTTTGCACACGAGCGTCGCCGCCAGAGCGCGCCTACTTCACTTTAGTCTTGGGTCGGAACGCTCACCTGCGGCTCTCTGGCTTCTTCCTCTCGAGGCGTTACTGCTGCAAGGTGGTGAAGTGGCTCGGTTTACATGTTTCTTTTTCTTCCCTTAGAATGAGAACCAAAGGCTTTAATTAGGAAAACCTAGGAGGAAAAAGTCGTGTAAGTCAGATGTGGGATAGCTGAGGGGAAAAAGAGGAACTTTCACGTCCGCTGTCCCGGTTCTCCGTGGGAGCAGGGTGTTTTCATTTAGATTGTCTTTTCCAGTGTCAACCAGGCCCCCTCTCCTGGGGAGAGAAAGCTGGTGATCTTGAAGTCTTCCAGCCTGTATCACACCCCCCGGCCCCCCGTTTTAACTCTATTCCCCAATTCGTGGAATCCAAAAGAAAAGCTGAATCTAAAATGGCTGTAGCTAGGGGAAGTACCTTGTTCTTGGATAACTTAAATTCGTTAACATGTCGTAACATTTTTGATAGTTTTTCGCTATAAAACATTAACTGGATCTTTTGTTCTTTTAGTTGTTTTTATTTTTTATTATTGGTGTATTGAAGACTTCTTTTGTTAGGTGGAAACAAAGGTAGGGTTCTGAAAGTTTGCTTACTCCAAAAGTTTACTTAAGAATGGGTGCGGTTTTTGTTTTTTGATTTTGGTAGTTGCTTATAGCTCAAATTGTGCTGTGGTGTCAGTTTTATCTGCCATCGTTGTGCTCTGAGGTTGGCTTGTTATTTATTGAAATTGTTGCTTTTAACTTTGATATTAATATATTGCTTACCAGGAAGACGCAGAGTTAATGGTGGTTTGTGTTTTAGTTTAATAACAGAACGTTCTTTTCTTTACTCTATAAGTTAACATCCAAAAATGAAATGAGTGATATTTTGGATTATCTTTTCTAAGATTTTTTTATATCTGTACTTGAAAGGAAATCGGGTGCTGTTAAACTAGGGACATTTACAATGGTGTGAGATAATTCAGCAAATGAAAACAGTTTAGATATGTGGCACCTGATTGTTGTGCCTTTTTAAACAAAGACTGTCATTTTGTTTACTTCTTAAAAACCAACAAAAAATAGTTGGTTTTAACTGCAAACAAAACTTCATAGATTGGAAACCAGAAACAGTAAATTTACAGTATTTGGAAAGGAACTTGAGTTTCAGGTTTCCCTTTAAAAGATAAAATAGTTAAAATGCTATTGTGAAAAAAATCGTCGAAGTTAGTAGTAAAACAAATAGTTCTCTTCCTTAGCATATGTCTTTCTACATTCTTTCAAACACATAAACTTATTTTGTCAATTCCCCTAGGAATTTTTCTGTACTTACCTTGGTGGTTTTACAACAAAATCATTTCAAGTTCTTTATAAAAATGACTATTTGCTTTGTGTTTTGACATTGTTGTTTACTGTACTTGGGTGAAACTTTAACAGGGTACCCAAAACTGTACAAGTTGATAAAAAAACATTCTTTCAGTTCATTCTGGATAGTTTGTTTTCAGAGCTTTTAACTTGGGGGGATGGGGGAGATGGGAAGCCATTATTTTGAATGAATTCAACAGTTTTCTTACCAGTGGCTGTTTTAAAACCTTAGCTGAGAAAAGCACATTTGACCATTTTAATAAATATGGAATAATGAGAAATGTGGAAGTACTTTTTTTTTTTAATAGTTGTTGATGGACAGCATGACTTTATTTTATTTATTTATTTTTATGTGGTGCTGAGGATCGAACCCAGTGCCTCACACATGCTGGGCAAGTGTTCTGCCACTGAGCTACAGCCCCAGCCCTCTGAATCATATTTCAGTAGATTGTATATCTTGGTTTTATGGTTTTAGTCTAATGTACCAGGGACTGCCTGTTGCTCAGAATTCTTAGATACTGTTTTTTTTGTGTGTAGTTGTTGTTGTTGTTGTTTGGAACTGAGGATTGAACTCAGGGACACTTGACCACTGAGCCATATCCCCAGCCCTATTTTGTATTTTATTTAGAGACAGGGTCTCACAGAGTTGCTTAGCACCTCAATTTTGATGAGGCTGGCTTTGAAGTTTTGAGGATCCTGAACTACTGAGATTACAGGCAGGGTAGCTACCACACCTGGCAATACTGTTTTATTTTCCCATTTTAGAGTTGAGAAGAATGAGACAGAGATTAATTCAGCTAGTAGGTAGAAGACAGTATTTGAGTCTAAGAAATGTGGGGATTTTTGTTGTTGTTTGTTTGTTTGTTTTTTTGTTTTTTCATTCTTATTCTCCTTTTTTGGTGCTGGGTATCAAACACAGGACAGTGCCATCTACCTCTGAGCTACAGTTGCCAGTCCAGAAACCTCTAAGTTATTGTGCTTGACCCTATGACTGCTGCCTTTATACATGAAAGTAAGACTTGGAAAAATGAGAAGCAAAACAAAACCTTTTAAGGAATCCCAAATTAAAAAATAATTCATAAAAAAAGCATTTGTGTCATTTCAGACAGATGAGGGTCTGTTGGAATCTAGGTAATGTACAGATAACATGCTTGCTGTCTCAGAAGTTGCTATAGTTGGTTGTGTCTGTAATTTAGTATGTGGTTATGCTGTTGGAGACCTTATGCCTCGAGTTATTTCTGAATCAGTAATTTTTATTTCCCACTAAAGTCTGCTCCAAACAAAATTGCCAGTATTTAAACTTAAGAAGTTCAATTCCTCTTAATTTATTTTTTTTGTCCATAGGTATCCCTTAACTAATAAGCAACATATATACCTAATATAAAGTAAATTAAATCTTTATAGGCAATTTCAAATATACTAGGGACGTATTTAAAGATGTCTGTTAGTTGTTTCCTTTACTAAAGTAAATAATCAGCCTTTAGTTGCTCTATTGGGCATATTTCACTTTTCAGCAAAAGAGATCAATCATTCTTTTAAGAAACACTGGAAGCTGTACTATCAGGATAGTTTTGGTGTACTAGGAGCTGGGAATATTTGGATGATTTCATAAAACATTTCTGACACCAAAGAATTTTACAGTTTAACATATTAAGCATAAAAATACTTGCAGGATAACAACATAGCT